TAGCTGAATTTTATAAATTCTGCGCATAATTTGATTCCTGAATTCACCGAACATATAAAGACTAAGTGTGATGAGAAAGAGTTCTACACCCCCACAACATATTACACTCGTGCTTCATGATAATTTCTTATAAGTGAATCTTTTTTTAAGTATCTATACTTAGAGGAGGGTCGTTATTTAAGGCACTTCAAACATCTCAAACTATGAGTTATTAATCGTGAAGCTTGACTTGAATTAGCCTCTCTAATAGTAGGACGCTAAGTGACCCAAACTATAGTTTACACGGTAGTGCAATAGTTTATACTTCAACCTCCTTCATGGATTGTGAGTCCGTTGCCACTTGCCAGCCTTATATTGGTCTGTGATCATATGGTGTTATTCCAAGAATTTTTTTTGACAATACATATGTTAACTGTGTGCCAACCCTCTCTGCCTGACTAGGATTTGTGTTTTGTGTCTGTACGATCTTTTTTCCTCTTCTTTCAAGGTAATTCTTCAATCGAATGCGCTTTTCATGATCGGTTTTTTAGTATTGTCTAGTCAGTTCGCTTTCCAAAATCTGCTTAGTTCAGTTGCTTTGGACTACTGACGCTAAGTTGGACAATCTTTTAATGGATCAAGTTTTTTTCTTTTTAAAATGGTGATTTAGCCTAGACTGAATAATGATGACTATGATTTGTTTGCTTAACATTTATTTGCCACTTCGAAAGTCTGTACATAAGTTATTGTTGATTTTTATAGATGAAATTATTCAATATAGTAGTAAGGAGTCCTACCAATGTAAATAACATTTCTGGTCAATATCCATAGTCTATTACATGATTGGTCTTTTTTATTTATCTCAGTCTTTAGCTTCTAAAGTAATTTACAACTGCAATATGCTTTGTTTTAATATTTAACTGGGCTGTCAGTCCCCATTTGAATTAACTTGTCAATATGGCTTCATAAACAGAAATCTCCAGAGTTATTTCAGATGTTTTCTTCTGATGTTATGCTCAATTTCCTCATATAGATTGATGACGAAGAGAAGGTTACAATGATAGATTTTCCTCAGATGGTGTCAGTTTCTCATCGTAATGCAAAGATGTGTGTGGCATTAACTCTTTTGATCTAAGCTTAAAAGTTATTTGGCCATTTTTTCTGTTATATGGTATCTGACGCTCTTAACTTGTTTCAGGTATTTTGATCGTGATGTTGACTGCATATTCAAGTTCTTTAGGAAAAGGTTTGTTTCTGAAAGCTCCAACTCTATCTTGAAGCAGAATATTTTGCTATTGTCATGACTGGGACTACATACTTAACTGGTTGATGTGTATCTCAAATAAATACAATCTCCTATAGTCCTGTTTAAACCAATGTCTTAAAGGAATAGTAGATCAGAATCTTAAAAGTTCTGGATACTTGTATTGATGGCCAAAAGTGATTCCAGTGAAGGCTCCCTATTCACCTCGTAAATTTTTTGTACTTGATGTTTACTTCAGACAGCGTCATATCTTCTCCAACCAGCTCACATCACCTTTTTCTGTCAAATTTAATCATGTAAATGATAAATTGTATCACTTGCATCTTGCTCTCAGTGCGAAAACCCTGATGCAGCCTACAAAATGGATTTGATCTTTGTATATTTTGTCCAGGTTTTCATGCAAACCTTAACTTTTTTCGTATTTGGCGCAATTTTAATACAAAAAGATGTTATATTTTCTAGTAAAATTATACTTTATGCATGGTAGTTGAGGCTTGGCTGTCTACCTTGCTTGTGTGATAAATCTTGATTACACGCATAGTAATGTCCATTTTTTCACTTGAACATTAACCGAGTCTCAACGAGTCATGTCCCATGGGGTTGAGGCTTTTATTTGTTTCTAATTGTTGCCAAAGGTATGTTGTGCTCATTTTAAAATTTATGGTGATGCTAGATCAGTAAAGTTCACTTTTTTTGTGCCACACAAGCCTTGTGATAACGTCCTTATTTTAATAATTTTTTATCCTTTTACTACAGGTTTAACCTTTCCCTTGAGGAGGATAATCATGATGATGAGGGGTCAGGATCAGAAACTGAGGAAAGCCACAGACCCTCTTTTTCTTCCATAGCAAAGTCTACTGGTTTCCTAGACAAACAACTTGCAGCCAGTGGTTTTACACGAAAAGATCAAGATGATATTGAGAAGGTAGATATTTAATTTGGTTTCTTGTTGCATGGATAAGTAATCGTATCCAGAGATATTCACCCATGCACAACACTACGTAATACATGAGCAATAATTCTCCATATAATATTACGTTTGGAGCCTTGGACACTTTACTTTCCTAAAAAAAATGTATAAATACATATTTCAGTCACTTGGAGAGACATGCATGCTATATTTGCTTAGCTCAGTTGGCTTGACATAGGTCCCTTCTATGAAATTTCCTTTGAACTAACTGTCAAATAAAACCATACCCTTAAGAAATTTTCTCTGATAAAATCCAGGAAGAGCTTATCTGTATGTCACTAAGGCATATTTGGCACCTGAATATGCTTCCTGGTACTTACTTTAGACTGAAGGCCTTCTCCAAAATAATCTGAAGCAGAACTTCAATATCTGATGTGAACTTCTGCTGTCGTCATTGTCCATGCTGGTGACAAATGCATAATCATCTTTAACTTTCTTTTAGACTCATTACTTCAGACTAATATCAAAGAGTAAATAGTTTAAGCGACATTCACTTTCTAGTAAAAACATGATGATCATTAGACAAAGTGGAGGCATGACAAGAGCTTACAGAGCAGAACGTCTTATGGATCAAGGAAGCATGAGTTTGTAGTCATGCTTCAGGTGTGAATTAGTGTATTGTTTGAGGGACACTTTCATGTATTTAAGGGTGATTACCATAAAAACCTCACATAAAAATTTCAAGAGAAAGTAAGAAACCAAGAGTTGATAGAAACTCACAAAACAACCACTCTTCCCCTTTTTTGTTTAATTCTTCCCTTCTGAAGAAGAACATCTCTCCCTCCCTCCCTCCCCACCTGCTTCCCCTCTCTCTCCCTCTTCCCCTTTTTTGTTGTCTTCGTCCCTTCTGAAGAACAAACACCTTACTGAAGCTTAAAACTGAACCCACCTCTGAGCTCTCTCCCCCCAACACCTGCAGCATCTAATCTCCCCTCACCTACATGTGTGCTACCAAATTAAATATATCCAATCTCTATTAGCTACCTCCCACACCCAACAGATACTAATGAGATGAAAAACTTTCCGCTCTTGAGTTAATATTAGCATAGTATCAAATGTTGCAACATTTAAATTGAAGTCCATGTGAACTTTGTGCTAAACTGTAGAATGTCATGTAGATTGTTAAATCAAGCTAGCATTTGCACGTCCCATTTACTCATCATTCTCATAAATTTTGGTCTTTATCTTTCGAGTCCTTGAGAGCTTAAACCAAAGATTACTTACTAGCTAGGTTTCCCCGGACACTTCGATTTGGGTGCCCTATCCGTGTCGGACATGGATTCACCATGGACACCTGTGGTTAAAAGCAAAACCCAGTTTCCCGATTACTTATAATCCTAAACCAGTTCCTTTGATATATCGAGCTCAAAACCAATAGGTATTTTGAACCCGAAAACTGAAACCCCTTACTTCAAGATTTTAAAAATACCCATCGTATCCCATGCGATCAAAACTAAATGTTAAACCTTAATTCTTAGGTTTAATTCTTAGTTTGATTTAACTTGATTCTTAATTGTTATAGATGGTAAAAGAGATATAAATGTTATAAGTATTTTAATACAATTTGGTCTAATGTAGATGTTGTATATATACATATGTATGTTTGTATGGATGTATGTATGTGTACACACACATCCGTGTCCTGGTGTGCGCACACGCGCGCACACACACACACATCCGTATCGTTGTATCTCATCTAATAGAAATTTGCTGTGTCCCGTGTCCGTGTCCACACTTGTATTCGTGTAACCTAGCTTACTACTTATCAATTTATTGTAAATTGTTGACATTTAAATTAAACTTCTTCCTTGAATAATGTCAAATGCTTAACATTAGATATGAAATACTAAAGTTGCTTGCCAATAGATTTAAAACTTCAATTTAGAGCATCTCATGCTATCTCCAAATCCTTGTTCTGCAATGTAGGGTTCTGACACACAACTACTGCAGCTAAAACTTTTGGGCTGTTACAATTTGCTGAACTCTCGGTTTCAATGAATTTGCACTTCATTTTTTTTACCTTTGCCATATTTGGCTTGTAAGCTGATCGCCTGTACAATAACTACTACTAGTTGTCCTAAGATGAAGAGACTAAGACATTTTTTGAAATCATTTTTTTTGTAGTACTTTGCTTTCCCTCAGTTCTCCAAATCCCTCTTTTTGCTTGAAAAAAGTCTCTTTTGATTGGATGGTCCGTAAGTTTGCTACTTTGATTGTGTTTTCCTTTTTCAGGAGCTCTTATGTCCGATTGTTTTTTTGTTCTGTGTTATGTAGTTCATTGAAGGAGGGGAGGAGCAGAATACTGTCAGCTCCGATGGTGAAGAACTCCCAGAGAATGAACAACACCATAATGATCCTATATCAACAGAGTTGTACTCTCTGCAATTAGCAAATCAGGTACCTGCCAAGTTTGTCAGAGGAAATCTATTTTGATTTGGAGTTTAAAGGTTGATTTGTGGTGACAATTTCTTAAAATTTCTGCTGCCAGTTTAAACATGAGTCGTTTTCAAACTCGGAATTTATCCCTAGGTGAACGTATGCTATGACAGACATTCAGTCACACCTTGAGAAAAATTAACCTTTTTCGTAACCTTTCAGCATTTTGAAGCAACTGCATATTCAGTTACTGAAGCAACTGCTAATTGTCAGTTGTGAAGAATAAAAGTTTTCATTAAGTAGTCATGAAATCATGACTCCAACTTAGTGAGTAATCTGGATTGTTGGTTATGTCACTTGTATCACCATATATCACAACCGCTAGAACTGTTATGCTTTATCTACTGTACTTTCTTCTCAATAATTAAATGTGGCATACATAATTTGGACTATCCAGGAAACTCTTTCGATAAACCATGCTATGGGTGATGCTACTGAGGAGCTTCAGCAGAATTTGGTAATCAACAATCTCTAGTAATTCCAAATTAGGAGATGTTAAGTGTGACTAGATTTGGTGTTGCTAGCGAGAGTAAATTAATACTACCATCTCTTGTTTGAACCAGTTTTTCTTTCAACTTTTACAGGATAATAGTTATGATGATAAGGAAGGTTTGGATGGGGATTCTTCACAATTTCCAAATAGCGGAGATGCTCCTCCACTAGAAGAAAAGGTATGGCTGAGAGGATCTGCTCTTTACTACTGTTCGTGATCGTAGTAAGCCTATTTTCCAGTACACAAATTGGACACTACCAGATTAAAAATAACCATTCAACTTACAGGTTATGGCAAGTTTAAAGAGGACATATAGTTTATGTTGCCTTTTTCTTAGTGTTCTCAAGTTCTGGAAGTATGAAGGACATTTAGGCATTTATTTTCCTTTTCTTTTTTTTTTCTTTTTTTTTCCTTTTTCTTGGATGCTATTGATTACGGATGATGAAATTTATTAATCATTGATTTATCCTTCGTGGAAGTTCGTGTTACCTGCCGTTTTCCTATTTGTTGAATCAATGGGTGTCGGTCGTATGACCCCGTTTTGGTAGCCAGATTTTCAGTATGTTTTTTGGGGGAAGTACTAATAAATCAAGAATTCTAATTTTATATAAATAAGTCTGAATTATAAGATCAGACTGTTGCGATGGTACACACGCACATAGATTGATATTGGAAATCTAATTTAGCTTTATTGAATGCCCTGCTGGAAAGAAATTATTCTTAAGCTTCCATAACATAACTTTGTAGGATAAATATTCTACCGAAGGAGCAATAGCTCTGCTGAAAGTGTGACGGCCCTGAAAAATTTGATTTCTTTTGCCCGTCCATTAAAACTCTGAACATGGTTTGTATTTTTTTTTTCAGGAGGAAAACAATGATCTGAAGGAAGATGATGATGATGAAGATGAAGATGAAGATGATCCTGAACTTCTTAAGCGCCTGAACAAGCAAAGGCGGCGAGCTGTAGCAGCAGCTCAAGGTCGGCGAAGATCACTTGCTTCCAGGAATTCTTACAAGGACAAGGGTGGCAAGGCCTCCCACAATTCCAAAGTCCATAGACAAGCATGCAAGTGGTGATTACGGATAGATCCTTAAATTATTAGCCATTTATCCGCATCACAGTTCAGTGAAGATCAGTGGAGGTTGAAGAGTGAAGGATGAAAAGATCGTGCCATAATGATGTATCTATTCATTTTCGTGTTCATCGGCCACAAGGGAGCAAGGATACAACATAATTTTGGTATGATATATTAAGTCCTAAAACGTTAGCCACCGTGGAAAAAGTTTCCCTCGTTGGTTCAGGTTGTATTGGTCGTATAGTAAATGATTGCTTATTTTTAATCACTTAATAGGTGGTAACGAGTGTTATCAGTTTTTGCGAATTCAAGTGAGGTTTGATAAAAAGTATAGTTTATTGCTTCATGAGTCTGACTCTTATGGTTTTGATTATGAAACATGGGGTTGTTTCTTTTACATGGTTAACATGCCAGGAGGCATTAAAGGGGAAATAGACACTGAAAATCGTGAATGAGAAAAGATATTTTAATTCAAGGATTTTTTTTTTCTGTGATAATAGTCCTAGGATTCTTAGGTATTTTATTATTTTTGTTCATTTATAGGTGTTTGCTATATAATACGAGCAAATGAGGTAAAAATCTGTTTGCTAGTTAATTATGTTTGTAGTTGTAAGCCTCCCTGGGACTTCTCGGGTAATTGGGTCTACTGGGTGGGCCCACTTGTCGGAGGTGGGCTTGCTGGGTTTGTGTACGGGGGTGTGTTCATCGTAATATTAGTAGTTGACAAGATCAAAGATCAAATCACGATTATATTGTAAAAGGAAACTTGTACACGAGAACAGACGCTCAAAATGATCATGTTGGAAAAAAAACCAAGCGCTCTTTAGTTATTATAATAACAACAAATTATTACATCCAACTAGATTCAAAACCAATGGCACACATAAACTAAAACTAGATACAATTGCAATCATAAACTGAAACCAAATAAACAACAGTACCGTACAAACAATAACTGTTTACTACACGTCGATAGCGTCTCCGATGTTAAGCGCCGCCGACGGATACACCAAATACTGGTGCACGAAAGCGGCCAACATCGCCCCTATGAGTGGGCCCACCCAATAGACGCCCACTGGTTCTTGAAATCCCACTAATCACGGCGGGCGCGCGAAGACCGGCGCGGGTTCATGGACGCGCCCGTTAGCGAGCCCGCGTGAGGACGCACGCCCCAAGCCACGAGCCCAATCGGCGAGCGGCGGCCCACACGATCCGGAGTGGCCCCTCTTGTTGTTGCTGTCGACCACTCTGGGGTCCATTGCCACGTAGACGGTGTAGACTAGTGCGAATGTCAACACGACTTCCATAACTGCCCCTCCGAACCCCGTCATTTCCGTCGCGATGCGGGTTATTGGAATCGCCTGCGAAAGGGTAAAATTGTAAAATTGTTTTAACTATTATTTTTTTAAAACAAGTTCATTTAGACCTAATATTAATTCTCCTTATTCAACTAAATATGATGTTATCACATTAAAAAAACACTACGGTCACACTCCCACCACACCATGAGACACAACCCCCCTCACAGCTACAGTGCACGGGCCCACTTTAGATTTTTAAAAAAAATCTAAAGTGGGCTCGTGCACTGTAGCTGTGAGGGGGGTTGTGTCCCATGGTGTGGTGGGGAGTGTGACCGTAGTGTCACTCTATCACATTTTACCGATTAATTGTGCAATTTTTCCTTAAATACGGACGCGTCAATTAGTAACTTATTACTGTAGAAGCATAGATTGAAATAAGTAAATACATATATGGTTGATAAAATAATATTTTATAGGATAAATCACCATTATGCCAACAAGATGTATAACAGAGTGCTATGGTGTTAATTGAATAAGATTCATTTGATAATGAACTTAATTTATGTATAAGTAAACATAGGGAATTAAGGGATGCGATCAAAATAAATAAATACTTTAAAAAAAAGCGCAGAAAAATCCCGTAAACAATAATTGAAAAAGGCTCTCAGCTTACTCATATATTCTAGGACTATCTATTTCGTCTTCTACCCATAAATATAACAAAAGTGCATAACAAAAATGGTATTACCTGATTGAGATCAAATTTATTTTCAGAAATGAACTTAAAAAATAATTATCACTAGAAAAGTTAAAGTGATTTTACCTGGCCAGCGGACCCCACACGGAGGAGAAGGCAGGCGAGGGTGGCCCCCACCATCTGAGAAATACAGTAGAAAATAGCACTCGGGACGCCAATATGCCCACAAACCGTCATCGCAAACGTGACCGCAGGGTTGACATGGCCGCCGGAAACGTCAGCCGCAATATAAACCGTAGCAAAAAGCGCGAAGCCCTGCGCCAACGCCGTCGCCACCAGAGACGATGCCTCTGACGTGACGTCCGGGGTCAGCATTCCTGTCACAAATTAGCGAAACAAACCGTTACAATTGACTAACAAGATAGATATGGAGATGAATATGTCTATACCAATATTTCTATATTAAATTAGTGAAATAAACAATTGCGACCGACATACAAGGAAAGCATGTTTATCGCAGTATTTCTATGTTAAATTAGCGAAACAAACAGTTACAACTGCAGTACAAAGTGATCACACAGATGGATGTGTATATATACGTACGAGCCGAGATGGTGGAGCCAACGGCGGCGAAGACGAAGAGGAAGGTGGAGATGAACTCGGCGGCGTAAGAGCGGAGAGCGGGACCAGAGAAGCAACGTTGGAATTGAGAAGCCATTGAAGGGAACTGAGATTTTGGTGATTGAGTTTGAATAGAGAGGAGTGGTTTTGAAATGGGGATGAGAAATTTTGAGAAACAGGATATTAGCCTTGTTTTCGAATGAGGGAGGGAAAGGCGGTTGCCCGTGCGGTTGCGTTCCGTTCAAAACTTGGGGCAGGTTACGAACAGCCCAGTAAGTTTGTCCAAGTTTATTTAAAACGGCCCATGTAAAAGAGCCAATTGAAGAGAAATTTGGTGTTCAAAATTTAAACTGTCAAATCTTCTTGAACAAAAATGAAAGGTTGCGTTGATTACTGTTTTATTTCATTATTAAAGAGGTCGAATTTTCGATGCTGAAGTATAGTTAGACGTCAAAAAAATGCAGAATAAAAAATATAGTTGCAGAATAAAGCTACCCAGTAGTGTAATATAAACGGTGGGAGAACAAAAATGGTATTACCTGATTGAGATCAAATTTATTTTCAGAAATGAACTTAAAAAATAATTATCACTAGAAAAGTTAAAGTGATTTTACCTGGCCAGCGGACCCCACACGGAGGAGAAGGCAGGCGAGGGTGGCCCCCACCATCTGAGAAATACAGTAGAAAATAGCACTCGGGACGCCAATATGCCCACAAACCGTCATCGCAAACGTGACCGCAGGGTTGACATGGCCGCCGGAAACGTCAGCCGCAATATAAACCGTAGCAAAAAGCGCGAAGCCCTGCGCCAACGCCGTCGCCACCAGAGACGATGCCTCTGACGTGACGTCCGGGGTCAGCATTCCTGTCACAAATTAGCGAAACAAACCGTTACAATTGACTAACAAGATAGATATGGAGATGAATATGTCTATACCAATATTTCTATATTAAATTAGTGAAATAAACAATTGCGACCGACATACAAGGAAAGCATGTTTATCGCAGTATTTCTATGTTAAATTAGCGAAACAAACAGTTACAACTGCAGTACAAAGTGATCACACAGATGGATGTGTATATATACGTACGAGCCGAGATGGTGGAGCCAACGGCGGCGAAGACGAAGAGGAAGGTGGAGATGAACTCGGCGGCGTAAGAGCGGAGAGCGGGACCAGAGAAGCAACGTTGGAATTGAGAAGCCATTGAAGGGAACTGAGATTTTGGTGATTGAGTTTGAATAGAGAGGAGTGGTTTTGAAATGGGGATGAGAAATTTTGAGAAACAGGATATTAGCCTTGTTTTCGAATGAGGGAGGGAAAGGCGGTTGCCCGTGCGGTTGCGTTCCGTTCAAAACTTGGGGCAGGTTACGAACAGCCCAGTAAGTTTGTCCAAGTTTATTTAAAACGGCCCATGTAAAAGAGCCAATTGAAGAGAAATTTGGTGTTCAAAATTTAAACTGTCAAATCTTCTTGAACAAAAATGAAAGGTTGCGTTGATTACTGTTTTATTTCATTATTAAAGAGGTCGAATTTTCGATGCTGAAGTATAGTTAGACGTCAAAAAAATGCAGAATAAAAAATATAGTTGCAGAATAAAGCTACCCAGTAGTGTAATATAAACGGTGGGAGGGAAAGTATTTTATTATTTAAAAGCATAATGGCCTAAACCCTAGAGATATACCTTTTCATTTCTGGAAAAAAAAAAAAATTTTATCAAAATATTCCATTTTATTAGCTTAAAGTTAGGATTATAGATAAATTTGAAAGATAATTATAATTTATTTAGATCCAGATCATCTCCAATTAGATGGCAATTGGAGAGTGTCCAATTCTCTCAATTCTTGTTGTCTATATAACTTTGGGTTTTTACATCAAACTCATATTTACTTTTATCAAAATTGATACTTACCACCTTTAAAGTTTTTTTGATTAATGTCGCATTTACTTGCCAACATCTTTCCAATGTCACAACTATTAAATTTTCAAACTAAAAACACATGAAATGACAAAATACCCTCACCCCAAACGCATGCAAAGCACGCGTGTCCAATTAATTATGAAAACAAAGTTTGTTTTTAATTCTAGTCCACCAAATCTTTCATGTTCTGATATTAGACTCATATTTTGAAATTAGGCCCCCAAATCGATGTCCTCTTCAACTAACCAGTGTCATCCTCATAGGAGAGAGTCATAGGGAGGCCTATTTGTCGACATTTTGCTCCTTGACTAGGGTTTCGAGGTGTATTTTTCTTAGATTGTAGGGGGGTGGGGACTAAGCGGAGATGACATTAGGATCTAGGAGAGGATTGGGGATTTTTTTTTCTTGGATTTGGAAAGAGGGAGAAGGATTGAGGGGAGACGAAGGTAGGATTTAGGGATTGGGAATTAGGTTTTGAGGATTGGGCTAGGGCTTCAAGAGTTGGGTTAGGAGGTTCATGGTTTGTTTTTTTTTCGGGGGGGAGGGGGGGGGAGGACTTGTTTTATGAAATATTTGGAGGACAAATATTGAAAAAAAAACCTTATGTTTATAATTAATTTGGGCACACATGCAAAGCACGTGTCTTAGCTAGGGGTAAAATGGTCAGTTCACGTGTTTTTTGGCTGAAAACGCAATTATGTGTGATATTGCGAACATGTAAGAAAGTAAATGTGAACTTTAAAGACGGTAAGTAGAAATTTTGGTTAGAGTAAAGGCGGTTTTGATATAAAAGCCCTATAACTTTCAATGGGTGAGATCAGGCCATGCAAGATTTTTACTGTTATATCGAAAACAACTTTGGTCTTAAAAGATACTAGTAAGCTTGAAAATAATCATAGTGAAAACCATTATCTATGATAGTGGAAATCCATGGTGGCGTAATCCCGTCCATTACAATTGAGATGGACGGTAATGGTTGAAAGAACTAAACCCTTTCCAACTACCATCTAATTAAAATGGATCCGAACCCAAATCCTTTTACTGTAAAATTACGATTACGGTGATTAGGAGGACAGCAGAATTACTTATATGATTTGAAATGATAGCATACATGAATAGAGAAAAAGCTTTTTCAAAATGTGGAGAACAAGTGAAGAGGCTCGTTATGATGCTGTGGCCTGCGTTACGTGTCGCATGTGGCTGCAGGCTTGAAAGGCCGACCAACCCAAAACCCACGGGCTTTTTTCACTCGGCCTTTGTGGTTCTTCTAACAATTGCAGCCTTTTGGTTTGCTTGGAATTGGAATTGGAGTGCGCTGTTGCAGCAGCAGCAGCAGCAACATTATGCCCTTTCTCTTCTCATCATGCCATTCACATCAAGGTGTTCACCACCACCTTATTTACAACAGTCAGATATTATTATTATTATTATTATTATTATTTTGCATGTGTACTTTCTATTTCTATAATATTTTAATGTAGGGCAAATAACACTAATGGCCCGTTTGGTTGATGTTTTTGGCCTCGGGTGTTGGGCAGAAAGCCTGCCAAAAGAGCACTTTTGACAGGCTTTCTGCCCAACACTCGAGGCCAAAAACATCAACCAAACGGGCCCTAAACCGTCAAGAACTTTCAGTTCGCACTCAAACCCATGATAACTTTTACAGAAAACCCGCAAATATCTTTTTGGATAAATTACAGTGAACCCCCGGTGACTTTCACAATGCATTCTATGCCGTTTTTTGTTGAGATTTATGGGGGCTTATACGCAAAACAAGAAACTTGTGAGGGTTTTTTCTATAAAATGCAAATGTTATTGCATGTTTAGTACGATTTTGAAAGTTATTGGGGTTTTACTGAAAAAAGCTGAAAGTTCTCTGGGTTCAGTGTAGCCTACCCTTTAGTCTATAATTCAAATCCTTATTTATCAATTTACTCTCTAATTTGTGGCCAGATGCTTCGTATTTTAAAATTTGTCCCACAAAAATTTGAAATTGCCAATTAGTCCTCCACTTCCTACTAGTTATTTCAAATTTGTCTCTTTATCAGTTTTTTCCACCAATTTCCTAACTCGAGTCGGGTTCGGTATCAACCCAACACAGTTAATGAACATTTTTTGCTCTCACTTACTCATTTCTCTAAAAATTCCCAACATTTCACTCTTTTTTTTAATTTTGTGGGGGGAAAAAGGCGCAGTATTAAATCGAGTTTAACGAAAAAGAGTTTAGACTATTACCAAAACTAGTTTTGGAAGGAAAAAAAAAAGAATTTCGTCTTAAACCTGAGTCTGAATTGTTTCGATCTAGAACTAAACCGATTTAAACCAAAACTGATTATATGAGAGTCAGGCAAACTGACGCTACATATAATGAGCCGAGTAATTCAAGTTATTATTATTTATTATTATTATTATTATTATGTTTGAAACTCTTACATAGGCCAAAGGCCTATGATGTATATTTATAGATAGACAATGTGAATAGGTTGAGTACCCAAGAGTCACCCCCACTTAATTGGGTGTTACACCATCATAATGGGGTGTGAATGGAGGGATAATGAGGGGGAGGCCAAAGGCCTCCCTCATCTCATAATACTCCCCCTTATCCATCCATTACCTTGGGTTTAGCTTATGAACACTTCAGAGTTCGTAAAGCTAATGGGGTGGATACTTCTGGATCCAGAGTAAACTTGTTTGCCTCGTTAAAACCTTAGCTGTGGAAAACCCAGTGGGAAAAAACCATCGGCCTAAGGAAAAAGAGTACAACCCATAGGTTACTCCCCCTGAACCATACAAGCTTCAGGCTTGTAGGTCTTTCAGATGTCTCATCACTATTCCTTTTACAAGTTTTACAAAAGTACATCTAGGCAGAGCCTTAGTGAACAAGTCAGATAAATTATTACATGATTGGATCTGCTGTACTTTAACTTGCTCCTCCTCTTGAAGATCGTGCGTCCAGAAAAACTTGGGAGATATGTGCTTCGTCTTGTCACCCTTGATGAAGCCAGACTGAAGTTGAGCAACGCAGGCTGCATTGTCTTCAAATATAGTAGTTGGCTCAAGGTCACCAGTCTTCAGGCCGGTAGACACTAAGATGTGCTGAATGACAGAACGAAGCCAAACACATTCTTTGCTGGTTTCATGGATCGCGAGGAGTTCGGAATGGTTGGATGAGATTGCTACAGTGGTTTGCTTGACAGACCTCCAGGAGATGGCCGTACCACCGAATGTAAACACAAATCCGGTT